TTTGAAGTCTGAGTTTCTCTGTTAAGGAATAGAGTCTGTGACGAAGCAGCGTTGTTAAGTTCAGTACATTTATCCCTCAGTTGGCGGTGTAGTTTCTTGAGAAATGACCTGGTATCTTTTTCAGGTTCATGAAATTTAGCTCTGCTTTCTTCAGCTGGTATTTAACTGGCAGCGAAACATTTCTGACAGATTGAAACAGACACCTCAGGATCGTATTTGTTAATATGTCCCATGGGACAGGACAGTGTATGGCCACAGAATGATTTCAGCTTCCTTGGAAATGCAAAAATGAACCAGGATTTGCCTGTAAGAAGTGTTTTGACCGCCATTTAACATGGGGCTTCTTAAGGCACATCTATGTCAAGTTTGCATGTTTTCGTGTGATATACATTGTTATAGGGCCATGGTTTTCATTAGATTCTGAGAAGACAACTCCAAAGAGGTTACGAATCATTGAGAGTATGAGGTACAATAAAAGTGAAAGAGTCTGTTAGAAAGAGAAGTGTATTTGGAAAGAACAAACACTGTGAAATTGAATAATTATGGTAGAGAAAGGATTTCTCTATTCCAACATTTTCCTGAGGACCTGGTACTGAGGTCTGGGGAGCCTCATTCTCATGGGGTAGAGGAGCCACTGAGGAGTCTTAATGTCTCTAAAGGCAAGATTTACTTTTATGATTTTACTCATGTGTGACTGAATTAAAGGCCCAGACTCACTGTGTCCAGACACTAACTTGCAAGAATTCAGGAGAAGGAGAACAATGAGAAGGAGAAGGTCTAGTGTCAGAACAGGCTTTCAGGGCACTCGGACCCAGTACTGATTCATAATTTAAGTCTGAAATTAGATGATGGGAGATAATGTATCATGAACAAAATGACCCTTTGTAATTGTGTTGAACTCCACGTCTGCAAGGGAATTTCATCTGACCACAGACATTGACATTAATATTCTTAAATGTCAATGAGGTTGAAATCCAAGACTGACACCCTTACCATACACAGGCACACACATGAAGCCCAGCTAGAAGAGAAAGAGTGTATTAGGGTCCCCCAAAGAAACAGAACTAACAGAAGATAGAGAGATAGACAGACAGACATAGGTAGAGGTAGTAATAGAGATAGAGAGATAGAGAAATAGGAAAAGAGAGAGAGAGAGATTTGCTATTTGCTATTTGCTTATACACTCATGAAGGCTGAAGAATCCTAAGATCTGCATCAGCAAACTGGAGATGCAGAAAAGGAAGTGGAGTACTGAGTTCTAGTCCGAAGGCCAGCAGGCTTCAGACCCAAGAAAAACTGGTGCTTTAGTTCAAGTCTGAAGGCAGGGAATGACCAATACTCCAGCTCAAGGCAAAAGAAGTTTCCTCTTATTCAGTCCTCTTGATCTGCACAGGTTTCAGCTGATTGGGTGAGGCCCACAGTGGGGAAGGCCATCTAATCCACTCAGTATATGGTTCAAATGTGAATTACATCCAGAAACTCTCAGAGAACAACCCAGAATAATTTTTGACCAATTATCCAGGCACCCTGTGGTCCAGTCAACACATAAAATTAACCATCACAAGGAGACTGATCCTTTTCCTTTTCTTATCCTTACCTGAGGACATGCTTTTTGATTTTTAGAAAGAAGGGAAGGGAAGAAGAGAGAGGAGGAGAAACACTGACCAGTTGCCTCTTATATACACCCTGAACAGGGACCAAACCCACAACCTAGGTGTGCACCTTGACCAGGAATCGAATCCATGACCTTTCAGTTTATAGGGCAACACTCCAAACAACTGGGCAAGACTGATTTTTTAAACAGATATGCCAGCTCCTACACATCCAGAAGCCTATTATCCTCTTTAAAACTGTCTATTCAATAGACTTGACAGTTCTAACAACAATGGGTGGGCTTCCCTGAGCATTTATGGCATGCCAGAAAATGGTCACGCTGCATGGATCGACTCGCTGGGTCCTCATCACAACTCTGTAAGGAAGATTTTACTATTCTCCCCATCTTATGGATGAGGACACCAAGGCACAGAGTCCAAGATTCTGCAAGAAGTAAGGGAAGGAGCTGGGTTTCACGGCCTACCAGCCTTGGTCTTTTTTCCAAAATTTTGTTCCCAACAGTCTTTCATCTTGTCTTCTGCATCTACTCTGATTCTGTAAGGTTTCCATAGAAAATGCTTTTTTGTAAGTTTTGTTCAGAAACACAGTCAAGTGCCTATATATTATTTTGAAATTGACTTCTCCTGAAGAGATCTCTCTCTCTCTCTCTCTCTCTCTCTCTCTCTCTCTCTCTATATATATATATATATATATATATATATATATATATATATCAAATGTAATTTGCTATCACATCTGCCTGTTAAGACAGTTGATAAGCTCTGATAATACCAACTAGAACCTAAGAAGGTAGACCATCAAGTGCTCATCTTACACTCCCTCTAACTTTCGAAAAACGAGTTTGGTCAGTGATAGATGAATGTCAGCGACATAAAAATATTCTTTCCTAACCAAATATGACAGTGAGAAAAGTTAACAATAATGATTTCTGGAATCTTCACCCAAGAGAGTGTTATGATTACCCATGTTACTCTCCTGCCTGTATTCCAAACACATAGCATTAACAGGTTAAAATGAATTAACTTTTAAAATCACAAGCATGCTAAAAAAACATGAAATGAATGATTCTATGACTATAACAGAATACACAGAAACATGCATGAATTCAGGGGCTGATGTGGGCCTCTCAGTTTTGATGGGGCTTCCATGCTGGGCTATTGAACCACGCAGAACTGCTGCCTTATGTGGTTGGAGGGAACAGAGACAGAGGTGAGCACGCCTTTGCTGGCATAGGAGTAAGAGCTGTGACTTTGCTACAGGACACATCAAAAGAAGAAATGGTTCTGATCCAGGGACCTGAGGGGTCAGATAGTAAATGATCCACAGAGACGCATTAACCTGGAGAAAGGAAAAGGAGTGTGTGTGTGTGTGTGCGTGCAAACTTGCATCACACACAAACATGTTCTTCTCTAGGTAAACTTGAAAACTGAAGCAAGAACAGGACATCATAAAACAAAAAAAACAGAAATATTTAAATCCAGTGCAAGGAAGATTATAAGAAATAGTATAACTCAAAGAAAATATATAAATTGAAATTTAAAACTAAGCAGAAAAAGGATAATAAAATTTATTTGTCATAGCCAAAGAATTGGAGAGCTGTGACATTGTGCTGAGTGGCCCAGAATGAAGCACAGACAGATGAAGAAATAGAAAGTGTGGGAGAGAAATGCATGGCCTAGAGACAGACTGAGACCCTCCCTAGGGGACCTAACAGGTGTCCCAGAAGCACAGCATATAGAGAATGGCAGACAGCGATCTTTGAGGGATGAATGGCTGAGGAATTTCCCAAATTGAAGAAATGAAGAGTCCTCTTCCATGGAACACATGTCAAGTGTCAGAGATAAAGAAAAATAAAACTACAACTAGACAGAGAAACTGTAGAACATTAAAAAACAAGACAATCTTTAGAAGTTACAAGGGAGAAATGACAGATTGTCTACGAATGAACAGTAGCTGGAGCGATGTATTTTTGACTGCATAAAAATTAATATTAACTTGGCGCTTAAAACAACACATGTTTCTTATCCCACAGCTTCTGTGGGTCACAAGTTGGGACACGGCTTAACTGGTTCTCAACGAGGCTGCTGCAGAGGTGTGAGCCAGGGCCGGGTCCTCGTTCGAGGCCCCCGTGGAGAAGGATTCACATCCAGGCTCGCTCAGGTTGTCAGCAAAGTTTATTTCCTTGCAGTTGCAGGACTCACAGCTACTTGCTTTTTCAAAGCAGCATGGAGAGGGATACTCCAGAGCCATTTGCCAGCAAGGCGGTCTTATATAACAGAACATTCTTCCAGCAGTGACACCTGTCTCTTAGGCCAGTTTCCATTGGTTAGAAGCAAGTTGCCCACACTCAGAGGAGGAGATTCCGCACGAGTGTGGACCCTGGGAGGCAAGACAGCAGACCAACTTAAAGCTCGTCTGTCGTAGGTAAAAGCAAACATCTCATCAAAAACATGTGCCGGAAGGTGGTTGCGTCAGATCCTCAAAGTGATGGAGAAAGGAGCTGTCGGTCTGTACCAGGATGAAAGACCACTCAACCCTGACAGCCAGGTAAAGCCATTTCAAGCACATAAAAACTTAGAAAGTTGACAACCCACAAACCCTTCCTGAATTTTTAAGGTCAATTGTCTTTAGCAGGAAAAAATTTGGTAAAATCTGATAGTATAGCTAACTACTAATAGTAAGTATGAATGATGAATTGACTTTTTTTAAAGAGCTATGCCTGAAATTCCCGGTGGCGATACATGGACAGGGGAATTGAGACTGGCAGTGTGTACGGCACACCCACCTTCTCAGGTGTGGGAGGGGCACGGAGGCAGGAGTACGTTACCATGTCATTAGGAAAGTGTAAATAAAATACATACATCAAGACAAGTATTAGCAAAAAATGAAGGATTATAAGCTGTAGTATTGAAACCAGTATTAGGAAAAACAAAAATAAACACAAAATTCAATTTCAGAATGACCACCTTCACCACCACCACCACCACCAACAGCAACAAAAGTTTTATTAACTCAACGAATGTCAGGAAAGTAGAAAAATAGCCAAAGTGAAAACACAGTACAAGAAAGTGTTAGGAAGAAACCCAAATGGGTCAATAAACATAATAAATGTAAAATTATTATATTTACCTCTTAAAATATGAGGCTTTTATAAAACAAAACATGTGAACAATGCTTAAAAATAAAAGAATCTTTTTAAATTTATGAATTTCCAGGTTCCCCACCGCTTTAGTCAGTAATTCTCTAACTTCTAATGAATCCCCTGAGGTATTTGCTGAAAATGCATCCTCCCTGGCCCAGATTGAGAAATGCTGACTCAGTGAACCTGACTTCTAAGCCAGGAGTCCTGACTTTTAACTAGTTCACCAGTTGTCTCTGAGGGACAGGGTCTGACGATCAAGTCTAGAACCTCAGCTTCTTCAGCCCCGGCTTGGCCGTGAGAACTTCCATCATCGGGTCATCTTACTTCTCTCAGTTCAGCCCTCTCTGACGCTCCAGCAACTGATGCTCCTTTTTGCCATCCCTCCCCCAATGTCCAGTGCTCATCTCCACTGGGGTGTCAGCTTCTTGAAGACCTGATGACATCTCATGTATCATGTGGACCCTTCCAGCACTTGCCATGGTAAACTGGAATGTTAGGTTATATCATTTTTTGACTTATGAATACGTGTCAGAGAGAGTGTAGAAAAGTGAGTGAGTTGAGATTGGAGGTAAAAGAACACCAAAAGAAGGAGGAGGGTTGGAAGAGGTGGAGGCTGCTGAGGCAGGGCAGACAGGACAGCCGGAGACCCATGCAGTGAGAGGGGGAGCGGAGGGTGGGGAGGCCTGACTGGTCTGGTTATTGCTCGCCAGGCTGCAAGCCTTGGGTGTTAGGTCCAGGGGGCTCTGCAGCCATTGTTTCCGCAGCAGCAAAGATGAAAGTCAGACAAAATAATGCAGAAATGCCTAACTCTGACGGCTAAGTCCTCAGGGCTTTATGAGACTTGACTTTCCTCAGACATGGAGGAAAGTCTTCAGCTGAAGTCCATTAAGCAAATTGAAAAGCAGGAGAAAAATAAACATAGATTGATGTAGATAGCAGTTTTATGAGGCAAAGGAAGCAGTTAGTTCTGACAAAGCTCCTGGCCTTGGATCCCCAGCTCTTAAAACTCTTAAGATATTGTTCTTTCCAAGAGGCCCTGCTGGCAGTCATAAAAGCAAGCTAACAGATTATTTTCAGTACAAAGACGGGGGCCGGTACAAACTAAAATAAAGGTATTCTGCACATCGTTTCTTGGTACAGTTCCATACGTCAAGCCATTTGTCCTTTTGTCCCTAAATAGCAAAATAAGTAATAAGTTCAATATATTTAAGAACAATATACTTGCATTCTGCTTGGACCTCAAATGAAACCAAACCACACTAATACACATTTCCCCAAATAGAAACTCATACGTTAAAGAATCATTTCAAATTCAAATTTTGATATTATTAGTACATCTAAAAAACAAACCATGTTCATAGTGCTCAGGTCCTTAGTAAGACAAATCTAAAAGAAAGGCCCTGCGCCCCGCGATGCGCGGAGTGTCGTGGCTGGGCCTGGGGCGCACGCAGAGACCAGGGACAGAAGGTCTCTGCGTAGCTCCCCTTCCTTTCATGTGACTTTGTGCATTTATTTTAGACACCGAAAAATAAAGTCTTTGTCTCCAAGGCAAGGAGTATTTCTCCCTGGGCATTGATTCCGGCTCCACGCGTGTTTCCTCGGGCGCAGGGGCGAAGCCAGCAGTACATTCTCCGTGGGGCAGTCTGTGACATGATCAGGGGCTGCACTCCTCCTTGCTTTGCTCTGAGGCTGTGGAAGCCCAGCGGTGCCAGCCCTGCTCTCCGGCAGATTTACAGCGTCCCTGGCTTCTCTCCAGGACCCAGAGCTGCAGAAGGGGGGGTGGGGGAGTGTTGAAATGCAAATTTAGTCCTTGGATTTTTCTAAGCTATGCAAATGAGTTTAGAGTGTTCTAAAACATTCTTATATATTTTAAAAGACTCAGGCTTTCCAAATTCTACAAAATTTATGATTTCCAATTATCTTCAGCTTTTGCTCCACACTGAACATATGTAAGCATAATCAGAGACATCATATATTTCTAAACAAGTAAAGGGGGAAAAGCCAACCTGAGTCATCAAAACCCATTAAAAATGAGAAGTACTGTTTTGCAAAAATGTCACAGTATATTTTTTAACAGGAAATAAAATTAAGTTGTGCTAAATTGTAGCAGATTAAAGCACACACTTTCATCTTTTATATGCAGTTAGTTATCAAGTGGAGTCTCTTTAAAACATAAAAGAGCAGATTCTCCCTTAGCCCAAGTAAGTATCTTCCATTAATCTCCCAAAAGACCCTAATAATCCTGAATCTAGTTGCTGATCTCCGTGTTACTGGTAGACAGAGGTCGGAAGTTTAAGTGCTGAGGGCGTGGCGCGCAGCCAGTCAAAGAATGCCTCACAAACAGCCCGGGGCCACGGAGAGGACCTGGAGTTTTGCAACACAGCTTCCTCCGGTTTTAGATTGGGGGTGGCACCAGGGGAAGGCAGGAACAGCACCGCAGAAATCAAATGGTGCAGGAGGAGTTGCTGCCCAGAGGTCTGTCAGTCTACCCTGGGGTAGGAAGGGGTTGGCTGGGGGTGGACCCAGGGGAAGAACACAGAAGTTTGGGGAGTTGATTAGCCACATTGGGAGAGCACTAGGTCCATCCCACACCCAAAGCTGATATAATCCCAGAGGAACAAAGAAACACTCTCTTGCCTGTGGCTCGTTGCTCGGGACCTACATTCAGATGGTACACTGGCCTGTCCTCTCCACGGGCCATAAGGCCTTAGCAGCCACATTTGCCCCTTGCCTCCAGGAGAGACTCTCTCTCTCTCCCTCTCTCTCCCCAGCCTGGTGAAGCACAGGTGAATGCACCAGTGCATTCCCACTCTATGGTGGGTTCGGGCAATCTTGCAGCTTTAGCAGCCATGTAGCCAGTGGCTTTCACAGGCTCTGCATGCAGGCTCTGCACGCAGGCTCCAGTAGGAAGCCTGGGTACAGGGTAAGCTACCTGGATGATCGCTAAGCTGCTGCTTGTGGGCTTTTTAAAATGGAGCAGGAACTCTGGTCACTGGCTTTTGTTTTTGTCTTGCTGAGGACAGTTGGACTTCGGCTTTCACAGAAGAGATGAACTTTGAGACAGGGAGTCCACCATTCTCTCAGATCACGCAGCACCTGAACAGAAACCTCTTTCCTTTTGCATTCACCCCTGCCTCACGAGTTTGGCTTTTGTGGTGGAAGGCAGATGAGGGCTTTTTTATTCAGTAACATCTGGACACCAAAAATCAAATTAAGTCCAATTATCCTTTCTAGCAGAACACAAGAAAGGCACGACCAGTTTAAATTCACAGAAACCCCTAACTCATTTTTACCAATCTTTTAAACATCTTATTCCTTGAAATGTTTTATGAGAACTGCCTTAAAAATAAGATGAACTGATTTGGGTTTCTCATTTGCCTGCCTCTCCACTTGATAGTGGAGATGCTAATACCCAGGAAAAGGCACAGACTACACACAAACTAGTGATGGGAGGGTCGAATGCTCCACAAAGCAAGCTACTAGAGGAAAAACATACAGGAGCAAGAGTTGCCACAAATCAACAACTGAAATGAGAAATAATAGCCTCCTGGAAGTGTCCGTGGTTTATCACATCCATGCAATGCTTGTTTGAGTCAATATCGAATACTATTACCGCATCTGGGTCCGCAAGTGGGATTTCCATTCAATCTTGGGTCCTCAGCTTTTCTTATGCAACCTCATTAGTGGCACAGACTCTGCTGTGAAAACCCATCCAGATTTGCAATCCGCAAAAAACATTAAGATGTGCGAGGCAAAGTGTAAAATCCCAGACCATGGACAATAGGGAGTGGCTGTAAAGTGAGGAGCTGTCTGGGTGGGAGTACCTCACAGGGTTAGGTTGATGACCTTGTGGAGGAGAGGAGAAATAGGGGCCAGGCTTCTGAACACTCGGGAGGTGGGGAGAGGGACAGGGCTCTAAGAGATAATAAAAGGAAAGAAGCTTCTAGGGACACAGACTGCCTTAGTCAATTAGCCTCTTCCCAGTGAATGTGTGTAAAGGGTGTTGGGCAACGGCCATAGTTGCTGGTCTCGTTCGGAACTCTGCTGGATGATGGCTGTGCGGGGAAGGGAAGCGTTGGCTGTGTTATGGTTATATGGGCTAGTTTGTGGAGAGTTGTACGTCCGGAGTAAGTGGTAATTTATCCTTGTTTGTTGTGAACTGAGCTTCCATCAATATGTTCTGTTAACTCAGCATTTATTAAGCTCTGACTAGGTGCCGAGCCCTACAAAGCTCTTTGTTATGGCAAATCACTCAATCACAAATATTCATTCAACATGCACTGACTAAATGCTTACTCAAAGCTAAACTTTGTGCTCCATATTAAAATGCAGCAAAGTAACTCCTGGAACCTCAGCTTTTTTCTTTTGAAAAAATTGAGATACAATGGACATATGACATTTTATTAGTTTCAATATGCAATACAGCGTTAACTGCGGTCGTCATGCCAGACATGATGTCCCCCTGACTTGTTTGTTTCATAACTGGCGGTTTGTGCCTTTTTGACTCTCTTCTCTTCTCTTATTTCTCCCACCCCTCACCTTCGCCTCTGGCAGTGCTGATCCGGTCTCTGCATCTATGAGCTTGTTTTCTGTTTCCTTTTGGTTTTAGATTCCACATATAAGTAACATCACGTGGTATTTGTCTTTCTCTGTCTGACTGATTTCACTTAGAGCAGTGGTGTCAAACTCATTTTCACTGCAGCAGGCAGGTACATCAGCCTTGCTGCTGCCTTCAAAGGGACGAATGCAATTTTAGGACTGTATAAACGTAGCTATTCCTTAACGGTTAAGCAAGAGCTCAGCGCTGCCCCCGGTAGAAACAAGGTGCCAGGCCCGATTAAACAGGGTAGGGGCCAGATTCAGCCTTCGGCCCTGGTGTTTGCCACCTGTGACTTAGAATACTGCCCTCAAGGTTCATTCACATCACAAATGGCAAGATTTTCTTCTGGCTAAGTAATATTCCAGGGTGTGTGCATATGTAAAAATCTAATTTTCTTTACCCATTCATCCATCAATGGACACTTAGGTTATTTTCATATCTCAGCTATGGAGAATAATGCTGCAATGAACACAGGGGTGCAGATATCTTTCCAAATTAGTGTTTTGGATTCCTTCAGATAAATACCCAGAAGTGGCATTGCTGGTCACATGGTAGTTCTATTTTTAATTTTTGGAGGACAAACAGTACCTCTGTACTGTTTTCTGTTGCCTGCACACACTGGCATCCCCACCACAGTGCACACAGGTTCCCTCTTCTTCACACCCTCGCCAACTCTTCCTTCTTGCCTTTTTGACAACAGCCATTTCAACAGGCGGGAGTGACATGACACTGCGGTTTGGATTTACATTTCCCTTGTAAGCAGTGGGTTTGAGCATCTTCTCATGGGCCTGTTGGCCATCTGTGTGCTCCTTGGAAAAATTCAGATCCTCTGTCCACTTTTTAATCAAATTGTTTTGGGTTTTTTTGTGACTAAGTTGTA